CTTATAATAAAATATCAAATATAATATATATGGTAAACTATAATTTATTACTAAATATTCTTAACACCCCACCGCAAGCTAAGCGTCGGATTTAAACGAACGTGAAGCTTGAATCTGAAAAATTCAAAGAGGTTGAGAAACACTTTTCATGAAGATGCTAACAACCTGGTTCTTGGCCATCAAAAATTGCAGAGGGATCGCCGCTCAGCGGCGATGCTGCCTTGGCTTCGGCGAGAATATGTCTAACCCATGAAGAGGGATTGTCGCTTAGCGACGATGCTGCCTTGGCTCTGGTGAGAATATTTCTAACCCCAAGAAGTAGAAGGGGAAACCTAGAGCAAGGGACAAAGACAATGTTAAAGCCGGAAGAGTCACCACATTGGGCGAAGGAGCCAATTTTGGCGAGAAGGGAAGTCGGAAGAGTCGCCTCATCGGGCGAAGAAGCCAATTTTGGTAGGAAGGGCGGCGGCAACTTGGTTGGCAAATAGGCCAGTGCAGCACCCAGATTCCGAAGGTAAATCTCTGCAAAAGGTTGATAGGTTTAGGTTAGGGTTTATGTGAAGGATGAAGGTTGATTGGGAAGAAAATGAGAGAGACTATATTGGCCAAGGGGAAAACCGATTGGGTTAGAAAAGGTGAGGTGTTGTATGTATAGAGTATGACGAAAGGTGATTTGGAGGTCAATAGGGTGGAGCCGAAGAGTAATCAATCGGCTCCGACTATGCCAGCCATGAAGACTGCCCCTGCGGCGTCAAAACCAGCAGGGGTGGTGGAGAAGAAGATTAGAGGATTCAAAAGCCATTGAAAAGAAAGGATCGGGGTTGTTAAACCGAGAGGGCTCTGATACCATGTGAATGTTTGATTAATCCACCACACCATTAGGTGTGAAAGTTATCTTATTTATAATCAAATAAATTACAGGATATGGAAATAGTAATAAATGGAAATAACAATAAATGGAAAGATACCTATGATAATAAGGCAAATATTAGATATTTGCCTTATAATAAAATATCAAATATAATATATATGGTAAACTATAATTTATTACTAAATATCCTTAACAGCGATGTGGAATCTCACATCACCTTACTTCCTACATGGAGTAAGTAAAATAAATTGTGATAATTTGCTTCAATTAGGTCCATGCTTCTGTCTTTTCTATTTTTTATTTGTTTATTTTTGCTTATAGTTATTTTTTCCCTCTGGTTTTTTTTTTTTTTTTTTTTTAATCTCAGAGGATACCTTGAAGGCATTAAAGGAGAAGACAAAACAGTCGGAGGCACCAGAACCTGAACCAGAACCCACAACTGAAGTGCTTTTCCTTTGTAGCTATGAGGGCTGTGGAAAAACATTTATTGATGCAGGTGCTTTGAGGAAGCATTCTCACATTCATGGGGAGAGGCAATATGTTTGTCACTACGAAGGTTGTGGAAAGGTACTGTCCTCTTTTTCAGATTTGTTAGAACTGAACTAGAACATTGCTGTAAAATTTCGCTGTCGGCATTGAGATTGTAGTCAACTTGGTCTGTTATTATTGTGAGTAACTAGCTATTTATCAAAAGAACATAAAATTCCATCATCATTCTCTTTTCATTTTGCAAATGATATTTTCTTCTGTTTTTCATGATAGAACCTTGTATGTTAGTGAATAATCAATAGGATCATATTCGCTTGACTCCTGCCATATTGAGTTGAAGTGAGTATACTATATTTGTAGTTGTCACCTGCCATCAATAAGGCGTTATATTATTATTCATCAAAATAGTTTATCACATGAATTATTTCTCATATTCTTATTTCATAATTCTACTTGTTTGTCAAATTGTATGTCCACACTGAGAAGTATATCTTTTTTACAGAAATTTTTGGATAGTTCGAAGTTGAAAAGACACTTTCTTATTCATACTGGTGAAAGAGATTTTGTGTGTCCTCATGAAGGCTGTGGTAAGGTGATTAATCAATTCATTGTGAAAAGATCTGTTCAAAATTTTCTTGTTTATTCATTTAAGTCGAGCAATAAATTGTTGCTTTTAATACATTTCATTAATAAGCAGGGTAGGGTACACAGATTGGACTGGTTATTTCGTTATGTGCTATCAAAACTTTAGTATGGGAGCTATGCTTGGAGTGAAATAACATGATTTTTCTTGGGGGGAGAATTTCAATATTGGAAGGAAATTATGGGCACTTAATAAACACTTTGTGTCTGCCTGGTGCACTTTAAGCAAACATGTGTTATCACTCAATGTGAGATCCCATGCCGGTTGGAGAGGGGAACGAAACACCTTTTATAAGGATGTGGAAACCTCTCTCTTGCATATGCGTTTTAAAAATCTTGAAGGGAAGCCCGAAAGAGAAAGTACAAAGAGAATAATACTGCTAACGGTGAGCTTGGGCCATTATAATCTTATAAGCTCCGAGATCGGTGTTTTTGTTGTTCCTGTTCCCCATGACAGTAAATGTACTAAAGTGGGCATGATAAGGCATCCAACAAAAACTCCCCAATTGGTCGAGAGTAATAAATTTGTTGCTTATCTTTAGCTCTTCATGCAACTTTTGTTTACTTTTACAGCCTGCTATATTGCGAGCAGTTGTACGCATTTCTAAACTTACTCCCAAGAACTCGACCTACATCCAAGGATTTTTTCTTTTGCAATTCAGAAATGTATCTCACTATTAATCATGATATTAACTTAATATCTTTTCCATTTGGGGAGGAGATTAATCTGTATGTTAAGTTGGTTGTGGTTAGAAATGCCTCTCCACTTTGGATTGTGTAAATTGGAACTCCTGAAGTCAACGGTGTTCTTAAACAAATCTCTGGAATGTGTCGTGCGTGTGCTGAAACAGCAGCGGACTTGGTTGCATGCTGGAAATTGAATCACATCAGGTTTCTCGTTGTCAGTCTTGGGACATCATAGAACGCCCAGCTCTTCTGAATAATTATTCCTTGTATGCAGCATTTGTTTAGTTACGCGTTCGTGCTTAGTGCACACTCGTTCGTGCATTACTAGAGAATCGTATAGCCTATTTCTTTACATGTGCAAAGCAAACCTCTCCACGCTCACATTTTCGATGTTTCTCTGTAGGCATTTTCGCTGGATTTCAACTTGAGATCGCATATGAAAACGCATTCACAAGAAAACTATCATATCTGTCCATACCCTGATTGTGGAAAGAGATTTGCTCACGAGTACAAATTGAAAAACCACATTACATCTCACCATGAAAAGGTAGTGCTGTAGCTCTCACACATTTCCTTTTCATTCTTATATTATCTTTTAATGCTCTCTGAAGAATAATACCTTGTATACAGTATGAGTTTAGTTAAATAAACCTGATATTGTCCACAAGAAATCTATTAAAACATTAATATGAGGCGTACTCTTGTTTACGGACAAGGTCATCTTTTAAGTTAGCAGTCAATCTAGGTAGATTGTTAGTTTTTACATTCAATTGACTGTCATCTTTATAGAACATGACAGCTGAAGTGGTCAAATATACACCACCTACTGAGAAGCAAACTAAAGTTTCTAAACCATCTGGAGGAGCTTATGCTTCTGCATCATCAGATCGCCCATATGCTTGCCCCTATGAAGGGTGTGAAAAGGCTTACATCCATGAATACAAACTTAAACTCCATTTAAGAAGAGAGCATCCTGGACATCTGGTAGAAGACAATGGCAATGCTCATCATAATGGGGAAAATGAGATAGAAGGCAGTGATCAAGACGGGTACGGCGGAAAACGGGTAAATACGAAAAACCAGAAACAGAACAAGCCTAAACCAAAGTTGAAGTTACCACCTTCCAAAATATCACAGCGAAAAGGCACAACTCCATCTCCTGCCCCAATGAGTAGTGTAAAAAAATCATGGCCTGCTAAAGAAGAAACCTACGAGGAGGAAGAAGATAGCGAAGAGACGGAGGAGGACCGTGAGAACATGGAGGAGGGTTGGCAATATGCCGAAAACGAAGACGATGATGAGGAAACAGAGTATGAAGATTAAATCTTTAGAAATGGGCGGCTTGTATGTAACTTGTTGTCTTCTCTTTTTAGCTCACATATATGATAGTAGGGAGTGATAAAACATTAGATCAATTTCTGATGGAAATTATAGTTTTTCTTACCTTTGTATTTGTCTTTGTATTTGTGGAATGAAGCATATCTATGTCTCTTCAATGAGCATTCGCCAATATGACCTCGGCCTTTAGCACTATCGATACTTAAGTCAAAGTGTCGGTCTCTCTCAAATCTCGTGGTACTATACTTTAGAGTTAGGTCTCTAATATCTACGTTCGTTCTTCCATAGTTACTTGATTTCAACAAGTTTGGCGTGTTTTTAGTCGATGATCAAATGCCGACTGCGGTGTAACACTGTTTAAGTATATATACCAATTATCTTTTTTAACCGACTTCGATGATAAACATTTTTAATATTATAAATATTATATTAGTACAACAAGGGGATGTAGATTTGAATCTTTGACAAAATGAATATATGTCAACTAGATATGTTTATTTTAGTAATTATTTTATAATTATATATATATATATCCTTCAACTTTTGTGTTTGTGTCGCGACTATTTCATTTTCTTTCAAGTATTTTTACCTTATTTATTTCCTTTATTTCATTTCGTTTGCGAAAAGAGGCTATGAACTCGGTTTGAATTTCTTACTTATTTTCATGATTTGGTTTTTTTCACTTGTTTTCATGATTTGGTTAATAGTATATTTGATATAGTTGATAGCTTATATCATATTTAAATGTTGTGAATATTAATGAAAATCGAACTTTCGATCGCACGATCTTACTTCTGTTTCTCATTCTTAACATGGTATCAAATCATCATTCTTAACACAACCCTATATGAAAACGCCGAAGTCTCTACTACTAACCGCTAAATTACAGTTTTTGGTTGAAATATCAAAAAGGATCCAGATAGGAGTATAATTTCATTGAGTTTGATGCTGTAATTTCATTTCTATTTCTGCCGTACATGTTAAGAATGAGAAACAGAAAAGACCAATACAATGTTAAGAATGAGAAACAGAAAAGACCAATACAAGGTTAGCTGTAATAATTCCATGGGCTCAGCTCAAACTTTTAATTTAATGTTCAATAATAAACAATCCTTCCGTAGAGGAAACGAAGAAGAAGGATCCACCAAAATCCTTCTTGTACAATGGCCAAATATAAAAGAAAAAGGCTATGGTGCAGAGAGAGGAATTGGCTTAACAGCACTTTGGATTCGCCGGAATGCTGTTTTTACTCTTTCTTTCAGAGCTTCATTTTCACTTTCTACCTCCCCACTCTGTTTATCAACCTCTGCTATACTCCCATCAACGTTAACTACCAGCTTCCCATTCTCTCCCAACTTTACATCGCCAAAAAGTGAAACCAGGAGAGCATGAATTACCTTCTCTGCTTTCTTCTCGTTCTCCTCTTCCGTTTTCACGGCCTCCGACTCCACAATGACTTTCGGAACTTCACGGTTGATGTTCAGAATGAGAGCTACAACTGAATCTGATACCATGTCGCTTAATGGGTCTGATGTCCAGTGAAGTGAGACATGTCTCTCCGACTCGTGCTTCACTGTCACACGATCGTGCACACAAACTGTTGGGACCCCAGATTCTTCGTCTGTTGACGATTCTACACTTTCATATACCTGTTTGAGCCGACGTACAATCACATTAAAGGCGTTGGTGTATGGAATCGTGATACGCTGGTAAATGTTTGCAGTTGATAGCTGAGAGAAGATGTGTAGATCATCTGGTGCCATTATCTGATAAGCAAATCCTTTCTTCACCAGTAATCCGCTGACCGTTTCATCGACTTCAGGGGTGTTCTCGGCCAATTTTCCGATAGTTTTTGCCATCTTCTGGGAGTTGAAGTACATTTCAACAGATTGACAATTCTTTGGAGTAAGAATCTTGGTGTTACGATCAGCAAACTTGGACATAAGCTTCTGTTTGAGCCTCCCCATCTCATTAGCTTCTCCATGGACAAGAATTATGTTGGGCGGCATGAGCTCTTCCAAGAACGCGCTGGTCTGTGCATAGTCGGCATGAGCAGAGAAGGAAATGTAATGAACCTGCATGTTAAGAGGAGCCATAAGTCCACTCATGAGGGTGACTTCCTTTGGTTCATTGATTATAGTCTTAGCCAGTGTCCCTTCAACGACATAACCAGGAAGCACACATGAATTCTTCTTATCAGAACACCACAGGTCAAAGAGTTGTCGGGACAAGCCACTCTGAAGGCCACCAGGACTGGCCATCACCACTGATGGGCCAACATCCTTAAAAACTTCAATGCTCTTTAGTGGGGATATGTACTTGAATCTGAAGGGGTTTGATTTGGCATTTTGGATCCTATCGTTCATGGAAAGCGTGTACGTCTCGTATACGGTCAAACATCTTTTTGCCAGAGGAGAAGCATAATATATGGGAACATTATGGAGCTCTGGATGGTTTGCCCAATACTCATCAAGAATGAGGAGGAGTTCCTGGGCACGTCCAAGGGCAAAAGCTGGAATCAGCACACGACCACCTTGAGAAATGGTTGAATGTACAACATCAGTGAAGCGCTTTTCTCGAATATGCCGAGGTTGATGGAGCTGGACACCATATGTAGATTCAATTATGCAAACATCAGGAGAAAATTGAGGCATTTCAGCAGCTCGAAGATGTCGGTCTTCTTCACGTGAATAGTCTCCAGTGTAGAGGACTCGGACACCAGCAATATCTACCATAAACATGGCAGCACCAAGCACATGACCAGCAGTGTAACACCAAAACCGAATACCATTTACTTCTACTGTTTGATGGAAATCAATGACCTGCGATTACTGTGCACTATTATTAAACAAGAGAAGAACTGAAGTCCATTTTCATCATTGCAAATCAGGAAGCATATAGATGAAATATATGCAAGTTGACAACAATATAATCAAACAGAAAACAATCTGCATTTCAGTACAGATTGCTCGTTGATATTATTATAATCAGGGAGGGCCAGTACCACAATTATCATACAGATATATTTTTTATTTTAATTTTCCTTCAATAAGAAGCTTCTGGGGAATCATTTAGCAAGCTTGAGGACTGCATAGGTTTTCTCTTTCCAGAAATTGTTTTAAAAACTATATGCATTTCCATTGTTTTTAACTTCAAAAACTATCATGCACTTCCATTATTTTTAACTTCAGAAACTATATGGAAGGGTATTCAATTGTTCTGTTTCTATTTGTTTCTTATACAAGTTAATTTTAGAAATATAACATTAAATCATTATACACTTTATTCAGAAAATCAGAGAAAAATGCATGAATAAAATAAATTCAATTATTTTTTTATGCTGAAAACTATAAGAACAGAGTTCGAGCATTTTAATGGAAAAAAATTAACAAAGAACTACAGCAGAAGGGGATAAGGGATCATAGATAGTGAGGGAGGAAAATACTATTTCCAAATAAAACGTCGAGTAGATTTCTATAAGAAGGTATGAGTTTGGTAGAATCATTAAAATTTCCTATCAACAAATTCGATACATATTTATCACCATGGATTAAACGGCAAGCCAAGAGACATCCATTATGAGAAATCGTTTACCTCAATTTTGTCCATGGAACGATTTATGTCCTGCTCATCGTACAACATATCTTCAATGGAAACTTTGCTCACTTTCACAAAGTCTGACAGCAACAACTTGTAGATCGCTTTTGTAGCATAAGTCATAAAAACTCGCCCTTTGAATGTAGTCTATCATACTAATACTAAATCAGTTTCTGTACTTAAAGAGGAATCGCATTGCAATTCAATTAGAAAGTAATGTACCTTCTCCAAAAAATAAGGGAGTGATGCAGCATGATCCAAATGAAAGCTGCAAGTAAGTGTGCATAAAATCATCTTAGTTAACAGAACACAAAAGAAAAGGAAGAAGAGAAAGCAGGGACAATTAGAATCTCATATCAGGAACAGCTAGAGAGAGAAACAGTAGGAACTGCCATTCTCCTCACGTATATTTCTGTTTTCCATGCTCACAAAGACATCGATTTTATTACGAGACATCAGTTTTAACAAAATGCAGAACACGTATCAAGAAAATATGAGATCAGAAAATAAAGGCGTTTATCATTAAGGGCAAAGATTTTAAAGCAGTAACCAAAAATCATGCTCAAGTGCCACAACAAATAACCATCCACTATCATTCGCTAATTTTTCTAAAACAGAATATTAAAATGCAAACATTTGAGTTATAAACTGCATTTCAGAAAGATAGAACGAAAGAACTGCATACTGGGTAACGAGCAGGACATCAATTGTTGACGGGTCAATTTCATCGAAGTAAGGCAAAGCAGCCATGCCAGAGTAAGCGGGGTGAATTCCACAATCGAACTATCATCCAACAAAAGTGAAGGGGACAGAAGAATACCGATTAAACAATTATAATTTTGTACGTAATACCCAGATACTTTGGAAAATATGAAGAATTCAAAGCATACCAACACAATTTTGCCTTTGTAAGACATATAAACGCAGGACCGACCCACTTCATTGCCAGCCCCAAGAGGAGTTACAATAAGCTGATCCTCCTCTCTCGTCGCGGACGACTCCCGTTTTTTAAGGGAGGGCGACGGTCCAACTGAAGCCATTTTTCCTCAAACGGCAAATGCTCACCCAAGATCTTTACAACTGCAACATATGAAGAACGAAAAGAAAGTTTGAATTTCATGCGAACAGTATTAACAAGACCTAGCATTGAGTCATTGGAGATGGAATTCATGCTTCAATCTTATAATTCCAAAAAAATAACAACAAAACTAGCATAAAGTTATTCATACAGAATCGATATCAGTTGTGTTTCCGTAGGAAATGAAACAGGGAAGGGGGAAGTGTGCATCAGAATCAACAACAGATCTGAAAAAACTCGAAAAGCGAGGAACAGCTAGAGAGAAAGATGAGCAGCAGGCATTAAATTGAAAGTGATAAGGAGAATGAGAAAATGAAATTTGAGAAAGAGAGAACTTACAGTGATGGAATCGGGGAAGAAAGAGAGGTAAACCCTAGTTTATCCAAAAACTGCGTCTTTCTATTTGGTGGGTTTTAGAAACGACCGAAGAAGCTAACGGGAAGAAAGCGGGAGAGGGGAGGGAATAAATGAAAAATCTAAAAGAAACGACGACCACAGTGGGAGTCGAACCCACGACCTT